AAGCAGTCTTACTCAAAGTCACTTTTGACTGTTTACTGATTAGTACGGTGATTCCTTTTATGGAGTAGCAGTGCAAAAAGGCAAGGACATTGTGATGGAGACAGAAAAAGAGGTTGACTCTGATAAGCTATAAATGATGATGACCTTTCCCGTCTACTAACATGGCGATTCCGAAACCAGGGAATGCAGGGGTGTTGCAAGAGGAGCTGAACTGTGTTTTAGAAAATTAAGGTGCAGTATTGGATACATCCACCACTCATTCTGTCAGGGTAAGGAAGCTCCGTGTAGCATTTATTGGCATTCCCACTGCCAACAAATGGGCCACAGCAAAATTTTCAGGGTAGGAGTAAGGGTGCACCAGAATTCCCTGCTGTGGTCTAAGCTGCAGCCGAGAGATGTGAAAGTAACCCCAAAGCCTTGCTGATTCCCAGAAAGTCTGATTGGGTAATGTACAAAGGTAGGATTACAGGATTCACTGTGTTTTCCCAGGGTTGCAAGGGGGATGTGCCTGTCCTTTGTTACAGGAGCAGACTGAGAAACATAGTAACTTTTTCAGTGCAGAATATAGAACTCAGAAAAATGCAAATACCCTGGGAATCAAAGTTTTGGGGAAGACTGGTGGAATGGTTTTATTGTATGTCTCTGCAGGGCATGTGCATGAATGTGCGCATACATATGTGTATTTGGATAGCTGAATAATTTGATTAAAGAACATATTTGGTCAGCATTGTCTTTCTTAGGTTCTTCCTTTCCATGTAATCTTTGTGCAGAACATCTCCTATAACAGTGCACTTTGCAGCAGTGACAGACACAACCTCATAAACCTCTGTCATTGGGCTGCAAAGATTAGCCTATTTCTTTGTTGTTACCATCTGATGTAGATTATCTGAGGGCAACTTGACAGTATTTAAATACACTTTTGAAGAATCTTTCAGATGCCCTGTCCACTATTTAGGATTATTACTGTACAGTAACTGAGAAGGAGGTTGGCTAGTTTTAGTTTTCAGTCTTATCTATTGAAGTTTTTCATGGGAAAAGAGAGAGGGGGTTAAAGAAAACCTCAAGAACAGATCTTCTAG